TCAAGGTCGGCGGGCACATGGCGGGCATGAAGGCCGACATGGGCGGCGCGGCTGGGCTCCTCGGCGCCTTTGACGCTGCCGTGCGCTCGGGCAACGTTCGCGCGCGGCCGCTGCACTGCGTCCTCTGCATCGCCGAGAATGCGATTGGACCGAATGCGACGCGACCGGACGAAGTGCACACGTTCTACTCGGGCAAGACGGTCGAGGTCAACGATACGGACGCCGAAGGTCGCTTGGTGCTCGCCGACGGCGTCGCGTACGCAGTCCAGCACCTGAACCCGGCGCTGTTGCTGGACATGGCCACGCTCACGGGCGCCCAAGGCGTTGCGACGGGGTCGCACATGGGCGCCTTGTACACCAACACGGACGACCTCGAGGCGATGGCAGTCGCGGCCGGCAAGGCGTCGGGTGACCTGGTCCACCCTGTGCCGTACGTGCCCGAGTTTTACCGCCCCGAGTACAAGAGCCACGTGGCCGACATGAAGAATTACATGAGCAACCCGCGCAACGCCGGCGTCTCGTGCGGCGGCCAGTTCCTTGCGAACCACATGGCCGACTTTGTCGACGGCGACGGCCAGTGGATGCACATTGACATGGCGTCGCCAGTCGAGCACAGCGACAAGCGCGCGACCGGCTACGGCGTCGGCTTTGTCCAGTCGCTTCTCGAGCAGCTGCATCGCAAGACGCTGTAGTGGACATCGTCAATCATGGGCTCAAACGAGCGCAAATATAGTCTTTCTTAAAATGCCAGCATGTCTTTTGTCTTGTGAACCGCACGAAATGACTCTATCGCTAGGGGAATTTGCATCGAGACTACACTAGTAAGTTTGAGAACATCGGAGATGTACGCTTCCGACCCGCGTGCATCGGATATCAACGTGTGAGCACGACAAGCGAAAGTGCAGAGTCCTTCATCTCGTCCAACCGCTGTTGACATCATCAACCATTTTTGCATCAGCAGCCCAGTTTGGCGGCAAAATCTTGGCTCAAAAGACCACGAATACAAAAACTAGCATTTTCCATTAAGCGATCGCACTGCCCTGGATTTCATTTTTGCCATCTTGCATCAATGCAGCGCAGGTGCTCGTGGTGGAGAGCGTTGTAAAATTGCGTGTGGCCCAGAGGGTTTTGAACGCGCTGAACGCCATATGTATCATCGTGTGGTGCGTTATTCTCAATCAATCAAACGTGCTCGCGTTGCAATCAACTGAGCAAAACTAACGCATACACTCCGCATACGTAGTACTACGCCCCGGAGCGAGGGAGTTGGCACCAGAACTTTGATGTTGGGAGTGAGCTGCGCACGTATTGACCCCACTTGCTAAGGGATATCTCGCTCGAGTTTGTCGATAGACAATAGAATTTTGTGTGAAAATGCACTAGTATCTCGAAAACCGAGTACTAGTACATCATGCCTTTTGATTGATGGGATTGAGCTGTGTGCGGAGATTCAGTCTCTTTCCAGCTATACGAGGAGATCCAGTTGGATGTCGCGGCATCGACTGACCAAACATGCCGACACAAGCAAAGGAAAGTGTTCGCGACTCCAGGTTTAGGTAGGGGTAGGGCTGGCCATTCGACGCGGTTGCGACGGCAGTATATATATCGAGACCAAAAGAAGGACGCTCCGTAATGCTTCTTCAAGTTAATGATTCAGCAAGAAGAGTCGCGTCGAGGTTCGGCACGAAATTTGTTATGCACTGCGGTGCAAGGCGTCCAACAAGTTTGTGGTGTGCAGGACAAAGATCTATTCAAGCGTTGACGGGATGTACGTACACGTAAAGTGTGGCGGCAGCGACCGGAGCGTGGACGCGCCGTCGGATCGGATGTGGCCGTAGCGCTAACCGGTCTGGACGCGCAAGCGCATGGCGTCGCGGCAGTCATGATGCTAGGCATATCGCTTTATCGCTTGCAGTGTCGTCGCAAGTCTTGGGAGCTTGGAGGAGCGCACCTAGGAGGCGATCCCGTGGCTGACGTGCGAGAGAGGCCGTCGAGAAATTGGCCAGGGCGCCGCCCAAGGGCCGACTCGGTGGCTCGTCACGTATGGATAGGCTGCGCCATACCTACAGCGACGTTGCGTGAGCGCCTCGGCCTGAGGCCTGCGCACGGCTTGCCACGTACTACGTGCCTGGCTGGCGGCAAGGGTACATAAATTCAATTTATGCACCCTTGCTGGCGGCGACGATCGGTTCGAGAACTGCGGCAAGATCACTGGCGATTGGCTCGAAAGCCAAATCCTTGCCGCTCTGATTGGCCACAAATCAAGAGTCTTCTTTCTCTGATTGGCTGAAACGCTTTGGCGTGGCGTTGACGAAAATGAGGGAGACCGACGAGGAACGCTGCATTGCGACCAAGCGACACCTCACGATGGCGTAGAGAATGCTGATGGAGTCTTCTCGAGCACAATGCAGCAGCCTCAGTGGTGCGCGAGTAGCCTCGGCGTCGTCTTTCTGGCATCGCCTGCCGTTACTATTGGCGTTCGCCATTTACAACCATACATAACCACATTTTGGTGAACACAGTCCCACCGCGCCGGCGGATCGACCAAAATGAAGTTTGAAAATGAAATTGCCCATACTTGCCAGAGTGCTAGACCACACTTTGGGGAGTCCAAAATGCTATATGACGTCGCCGCGCGAACTCCGTAGCGAGAGCAAATGACAGCGGCAAACATTTTTGATATAGTGTGATTTTTTTCTAAACTGAAATACTGTACGGGATACAAGGGCTCATCACGCAGCGGTATCGCGGGCACTTGGCCTCCCTCGGCCACATGTAACACGCTCTTTAACCTAAACAAATAGAGACGGCGTCCTTGGTTTCCGCGATTTCGACGCATTTTCAACCGAAATTGCATGTCGAATTTCCAGAAAACCGACGGTCGGCCGTTCGAGTCTGGTGTGAATGCCCAAGCAACGACGGAGACCAAAAGCTGGTCGCACACCGGGTAGAGACCCATCGCCAACTGTGGCAGTCAGTCTTACGGTCCTTGGAACTTTGGAACCCCGCGATATCACGTGAAGTATTTGGGCAATTCTGCCACCACCTCGAAAAATGGAAAATGGATTTGCGCGTCATTACGCTACGTGCAGCGTCGGAAATGACGTTTAGATCATTCAAGAAGTGTGTGGAGAGGTATACCCGGCTGCTACGTGGCGCTGGCGCGTCTGTGGGATGCTGCTTGTCGTTCTGCTGAATGGTGCTCACACTATTTAAGACGAGGTCTTGTGATTGGCTAGAAAGGATCAAGAATTGAGCCAATAAAAACATCCATTCGAGATCAAGTTCCAAACGAGCCGGATACAATGGTGTGCACGAACATCGGGAAGGTCCGGCGCGATGAGCGGCTGCACGAAGAGGCAGAGCGCGCTGCCTTCCGCGAGGAGTGCAAGCCGACCTCGACGACGGCGTCGAGGCGCTCAAGACACGGAATCGACCATCCAAAGACCGTACACTCTACGTGCGTCTTGGACGACGGCGGGCAATAAAAGGCTGTGCCACAGAACCAAACGCCCGGCGCGGGTCGTTTGCGCGGAGGATCTGGAGTTTTATCTTTAGGACACAACGTGCAAGTTGCAGCGGTGTACATTCGGTGACTACAAGGGGAGCCTCAATGGCTCGAGACTTGGTGTCGGCGTCCACGACGCCGACCCAACGCACGCTCATTGCGCATCGTAAGCGACTGGTAATGGCTTTTCATTACTGGCAAAGGAGTCTGGAGACCACAAATGATACAAGTCAATGCATGAAGCATGCCGGAGGGTCCTCTATATCTGTTGGATGTCGATGAGACGGCTCCAGAGGACACTCCTTTTCGAAGTAAGCTGTGGCGACAGGCTCGTCTTGCGTTTGATGTTCTGGCCCACATGTTCGGTGGCCAGCTCGTACGTCGTACTATGTAAGGGTATGTCGTGCGCTCTTGCTCGAACGGGTCTTGCTTGATGCTCGCAAGTTGGCCAACTTTTGGTGAACCACGCGACCGACTCGACGACTCGTTGCAGACGTGACCATTGTAGAAGGATCCGCATCCGGACGGGATTGTAGACGCAGTGTGGGCTCCTTAATCCACTTGGCGTCCCATTTCCATTTCTCGACAATGATCACCACCCACGCGCGTGCTTGTCAGTGCCCTTCTTGCGCTCTGCCGTCCACGGTGCGACATTCAATGAAGCGCCGGTGTCGACCGTGTGCGCGTGCGTCGACTTTCCGACATTTCTTCACCGTGATTGATTGGCTCGGACCATGCTAAACTGAACAAGTGCTGCGAGTGCTGGTGGACGACCGACGGCTGCCGCAAAACCCGGTGCTGGCTCGAAACGCTCATGAGCAACAAGTCGCTGTCCGGTGCCAAGAGAGGTCTGCACAGTGCTCCCAACCGAGGCCTTTGTGCGTACTCAGCCTTTGCACCCCATTTGCCCCTTGCTGTGACCGTTGGCCGCATACAGTGGTGGGGCAATGGGTGTAAACCTAGCCCACGTCAACACCACTAGGCCGGGACAAGGCGATGTGTGTTTGCATGTTTAGTCCTACTGGAGAAGCCTGTTGATGTGGGACTGTACAGCCTTTGGCAGCAGTCAATAGACGTAGCTTAGCTGTCAGTCTCCGTTCTGCTTTGTAGCACCATAGCCGGTGTTTAGGGAGTAAGGCCTCCCTCTGTCTGGTGTTTCACGTTCTGGTTGTTGCCAGGGAGCGGAATCGGTCACTCTTGCCTGCACCTTCTACAGCACGACCCGAAGTACATACTATCGACTTGACGTCGACGCTGTCGCTGTCGTTCCGTGCTGACTTTTAGCCAGACAATCTCAATGACCCGCTGCAAACGAAGCGCTAGTTAGCGATATTGAAGCTGCTCGTTCCGGGGCGTGGTCATGTCCTGCGATGCCGATCGAGCTGGTGCAATCGTGGCTTCTCGAATTTACGAATTCGGAAGATCGTAAATTCGAGCGCTGATTGGGTATAATCCGGGAGATTTGTAGCAATTTGCACCAATCTGCATTCGGTATTCCAAGCACTGGATTGGCGAGGTTCATTTCCGAAGCAACCTGACGTCTTGATCCGATGGCGTCCTTCTTCCGTCGCTCGATGCTCCGCCCGACAGCGCTGCGCTCTGCGGCCCTTGGCCTCTCGGCCATCACCAGCGTCGCCATGTGCGAGGCCGAGGCCAAGCCTGCCAAGAAGATGGAGTTTGTCGGTGTCTTCCTCGACGCCAAGTCGCGCAAGCAGCTCGAGGAGCGCTTTGCCGCCGTCCATGCCAAGATCCCGGACCAAAGCACGGTCGTGCTGAAGTACAACCCGACGGCCGACGAGCTCAGCACGTTTGCGCCCATCATGGGCCACAACGTCAAGGTAGGCGACCTCGACGCCCTCCGCATCTCGATTCTTATTGCTGCATGCGGCGCAGATCGAAGTCAAGGCGCTCGCGGAAGACGAACACACGCAGACGGTACATTGATTCTCGTCGCTTGCATGGTCAACGGAACCATCGATGTTGTAGGCGGTGGTCGCCGTCTCGACGGAACACGGTGCCGTGCAGTACGCGGTCGAGTGCCCCCACGTGACGCTCTCGTACTCTGGCGAAGAAGGCTACTCGCAGGCGTACGCCAACGTCCTCTTCGAGCGCCTCCAGAAGACGGGCAGCCTGACGCTTGAGGAGACGGACGAAGGTATCGAACGTCGGCCTCGGCGCCTTTGGC